ACTGCCTTGAAAAGGCCTGGTGGAAATCTGTGTGGAAACTGAAAGTGAAGCATCGGATTCCAAAGCGGGGAAGGCAGACACGAAAACCAAGTTGGAGACCAACTGCCTCAGAGTTCTGAGCATGAGAGATGATGAACAACCTGCCCCGCCTCCCCGACCCTCCATCCAAACCCCTGCCATGGAAACAGTCAGGAGCCAGGCATCACTTGCAGATGCAGAAGGGACATGGAAGGTGGTTCAACTCCAAGACTCGGCAGTGTCTCCTAGACGAGCAAGGCTCCGTGATGCAGAGCCATCCTAAGCCTGGTGATGGGCTGGATTATTAACATTTTTCACCCTGTCCTCTGCCAGGTGGCTCTGCTGCCCCTGCCGCTAGGGGCAGAGTGTGTTCTCCATTCATAGACAAGGGTTTGACTCACATTCTGGTGGCGTGTCCGCAGAACTGAAAGGGCACGACCTCCAACCCAAGGTCCCAGGGAGCTTTGTACAGTCCCACTTGTCTTTGCCATCAGAAGGACACGGCTTGACCAGACCCATGCATCCAAGGACAGGGGGAGAGACAAGGAAGAGACAGAAGACGCAATGACTGAGCTGAGTCTGGATCAGCCGAACCCCAGCAGATCTGAAGATGCTGCTGCTGCCGCTGAGTCGCTTCAGTCATGTCCGACTCTGTGCGACCCCATAGACGGCAGCCCACCAGGCTCCCCCGTCCCTGGGATTCTCCAGGCAAGAACACTGGAGTGGGTTGCCATTTCCTTCTCCAATGCCTGAAGATGCTAAGTAATAGTAAAAGGAAGCTGGAATCTTAAAGCAGTTGTGACACCTTTTCCGGAAATCCTTGACTGACGCAAAGCACTGTTGCTAACTGTGGCTTGTTGGAAGGAAGAACATGAATAATAAAAGTGACTAGAAAATGAGAGTGTGGTTATGTAAGGGTTTTCTGAGGGTGTGCATGGTTGTAAGAGGGGCTGACGTTGCTCCCAAGTTTGAATCACCCCTCCCCCTTAACTGGGTCTGGTGAAGGGCACCACTCAACCTTGGTCCTGGCCATGTTGGAAACCACTGATATGTCCATGGCCAATGACAGACACTGAACTCTCTGGGAAGCTGCAAGCATTCCAAATCTCATTTCAAAGAATATCAGACAGTTAAGTAGGGGGGCCTACTTCAAGACAATCTACACCTGGGAGAAGTTAAAACTATTTGCTACTCAGAAGGTAAACCCTTTAGTTACCAGTCAGTTACATCAGTTACATGGTTATCTTCTCCCTGAAATTTATTTGCCTTTTAACTTTACCCGTGGTTCCCAACTCTTCCCTCTAAAGCCAGAGAGGGAGTCTCTTGACTTTTCCAATACAGGATTTTAAAACACTGTTGCACACCCAAAGTCTTTTCCAAATCAAACTCCCAGAGTTTCCTCACAATCTTATCCTGGCATGCACCCACCACTCTGATCACTGTCTTCTAGATGCCTGCTCACTTGTTCATATCCCTCACAAAATAGGAAATGCGGAATCACAGACAATCTTTAGGGTGCACAAAAAACATGGTTGTGCTAAGTTGCTTCAGTGGTGACCGACTCTTTGCAACCCTACGGACTGTAGCCCGCCAGGCTCCTCTGTCCATGGGATTCTCCAGACAGGAATGCTGGAGTGTGTTGTCATGCCCTCCTCCAGGGGATCTTCCTGATCCAAGGATTGAACTCACATGACTGGTATCAGAGCCAGGATGGAAAGGAATCAACAGAGGCCAGTCCTCTGATCTTTAGCACAGGCTTTCTTCCATTGCTGTGGTGGGCACTGCTGATGTCCTGCCCAGATACTCTTTCTTGGGCGTGAATAGGCAGAACAATGGCCTCACAAAGATGTCCATGACCTAATCCCCAGAGGTTGGATGATTACGTTACGTGGCAAGGGGAACTCAAGGGTGCAAGTGGAAGTAAGGCTGCTAATCAGGTGACTCTGAGATGGGAAGGTCATGCTGGTTTATTCAGGTAGGTCCAGTATAATCACAAGGGTCCTCGGGAAAGGGGAGAGTCAGGACCAAAGAGATGGTGGTGTGACCTGCCATGGCCCTGCCTCACTGCACTGAAGATGACGAGGGGCCACAAGCCCAGGTGCATGTAGCCGCTAGAAGCTGGAAAAGACAAGAACACGGATTCTTCCCTACAGCCCCCAGAAGGGACTGCAGCTCTTTGCACGCCTTGATTTCAGTCCCATGAGACTCACTGTGGCCTCCAGATCTCCAGATGATAAAACTATTGTTTTAAATTACCAAGTTTGCAGTGACTTGTTTTAGTAGCAAAACCCCACTAATACACCAGGGGTATCCCCGCTGGCTGGTCAGAGCTCACAGCTGTCCCTTTTCTCGAGAGAACTGCCTTCAGCAGAGCACGAACCACTTTGCTCAGGGGTTTGAAATGACCTCCATCATGGGAGGAGAAGGGAAGCCCACTGATACCAAAGGCTGGCCTTGAGGAAGGACCAACTGCTGAAACTCACGCTCCAGCGCTCCCGCAAGATCCACCTAAGACCACGTCCTAGTTTAGTCCCTCCCTTGCCCATCGGTTTCCATTTCCCCTTCTCGTCCTCTCAATAGATCACGGGCATGTGAGTCCCTGTCTCAGCTCTGCTTCTGGGGAATCCGGCCTAAAACAACTGTCATGCTCAGAAGAGACTCTGGGCACTTAAGGGGAAACTGGGGGTTGGGAGAGGTGGGTGTCAGGGCTGAGGAGCTGGAAGGCGAAACATGTCAGGGTCACATGGGGCCCTGGCTCCCAGCTCGGGAATCAGGCTGTTGATCTTAAAGTATTCTTGCCTCAAGCCTTGGCCAGCCCAGTGCCACAGCATCCAGGCCATAAGTGAGCAGAAGGCACGGTGTGGGCCTAGCCCTGGGACCCCAGGTGGGGAAGGGCTGTCTTCCATACCTGCATGCCTCTCAGCCATGGTCCAGGAGCTTGAGGCTTCGCTTGGCTCCGTCTCTGCAGGACAAGCTCCCAGCTCAGTCAGCTTGGCATTTTTTTGATTTTCAGCCTCATTTCCTCTCTTAATTCTGGGTTTCTGCCCTTCAACTTCTCCTAGGGTGGGTGGGTGCATCCTAACCGCCCCCTTGAGAGCAATATGGGCATCTCCTTCCCCCTCCTCCCTTGTTCTGTAGTGGACCAGTCAATCACTTAGGACATGCTGCTGTCTTGAAATAACTGGTTTCAATTCACTCTGGGTCCCACCCAAAGTCCTTTTCCTTTTATGATTTCCTCTATCTGTTTGGTTACTGGGTTTCTGCCACGAGGCAGGGGGTGTCAAGTGTGGAGCCCCTGTGCTAATCCGGCCTAAAACAACTGTCATGCTCAGAAGAGACTCTGGGCACTTAAGGGGAAACTGGGGGTTGGGAGAGGTGGGTGTCAGGGCTGAGGAGCTGGAAGGCGAAACATGTCAGGGTCACATGGGGCCCTGGCTCCCAGCTCGGGAATCAGGCTGTTGATTTTAAAGTATTCTTGCCTCAAGCCTTGGCCAGCCCAGTGCCACAGCATCCAGGCTGTAAGTGAGCAGAAGGCACGGTGTGGGCCTAGCCCTGGGACCCCAGGTGGGGAAGGGCTGTCTTCCATACCTGCATGCCTCTCAGCCATGGTCCAGGAGCTTGAGGCTTCGCTTGGCTCCGTCTCTGCAGGACAAGCTCCCAGCTCAGTCAGCTTGGCATTTTTTTGATTTTCAGCCTCATTTCCTCTCTTAATTCTGGGTTTCTGCCCTTCAACTTCTCCTAGGGTGGGTGGGTGCATCCTAACCGCCCCCTTGAGAGCAATATGGGCATCTCCTTCCCCCTCCTCCCTTGTTCTGTAGTGGACCAGTCAATCACTTAGGACATGCTGCTGTCTTGAAATAACTGGTTTCAATTCACTCTGGGTCCCACCCAAAGTCCTTTTCCTTTTATGATTTCCTCTATCTGTTTGGTTACTGGGTTTCTGCCACGAGGCAGGGGGTGTCAAGTGTGGAGCCCCTGTGCGTGTGATTCCGAATGGCTATGTTTTCCTTCCGGTTGGAACATTTTATAGGTCACTTTCTTCTTCTGGGCACAAGCCCTAAGACACTCAGGCCACTACCATTTCTTTGTGGTACCAGCAGTGAGTCCTTCCCGGGGTTCAGAGTTGGTGATCACCATTACCACTGAATCCTCTGTTCTGGGTAGTGCCTCCCTGACATCTCCTACCTTCCACACCTGCCTGCCTCGCTCATTCACCTGTAACTCACCACGCCACAGACCCCCTGCCCAGGTGACCTCAGGCAGACACGGCCATGCAAACACGAAAGGACCCTGCAATGCAGCGCTCAGATCCTCTTACAGCCCAGTATCTTGGCTGCCTCCCACAAAATCTCTCTTGGCTAACTGCCCTTGGCTAAAAAGAGCCACTTTGTCCAAGATGTGGCCCTCTACCTGGGGGCTGCCGATATCCGGTGAGAGGTGATGCAGGGTACAAAGTCCCGGATCTCTGGCCTCAAAGTGAGATGACTGAACAGGGCTGGGGAGCACTCCAGGGAGCAGCTGAAGGCTCCGTCACATCCGCACCATCACCCAGCTTCTCCTCTGCCCAGCCCTGCTTCCCTTACCTTTGACACATAGTGTTCTCTCATGAGTGCATGCATGCTAAGGTGCTCAGTCGTGTCCGATTCCTTGTGACTCTATGGACTGTAGCCTGCCAGGCTGCTCTGTCCAGGGGATTCTCCAGGCAAGAATACTGGAGTGGGTTGCCATTTCCTTCGCCAGGGCATCTTCCCAACCCAGGGACTGAACCTGCATCTCTTATGTCTCCTGCACTGGCATGTGGGTTCTTTACCACTAATGCCATCTGGGAAGCCCGGTGTTCCTCCAGACGATCCCAAACAATCCTCCCCGCTGCCAGACAGTCTCAGAGTCTGTCCACAGGGACCTGGACTCAGGTGCACCCCTCTCAGCTGGCTTTCCAGAGATGCGGGGACCGGCAGCATGGGGACAGGGGCAGGGCTTACCCACGATCATGTGGTTGCAGACGTCACAGAAAGTGGGCTTCTTGAAGATGTGCTCCTGAAAGGCATGGGCCTTGCCGCCGCCGCCAGGGTACAGACCGGCCCTGGTGGGTGTGGAGGTCAGGCTTCCGGGGGCAGGGAGCGGGCTGGAGCTGGGGCTGACCTCCGCCAGCACGTCCGCCTGCAGCTTCACGTCGCTGTTGGTTCGCTGGAAGAAGTTGTCAGCACTTTTGCTCCGTAAACTCTTGGTCTTGAAAGAAAGTGATCGTTTTAGTTTCTGGAGCTGCAATGCAACGACAGAACAGACTTACGATCAACCATGCAGACTCCTGCTGTGAGTGTTGGGGGGCGGTGGGGGTGAGGCCTGCTCCGTGGGCTGCACCGTTTCCGACACCCTCAGCCCCTGTGGAGGCATACAGGGGTCCCTGCGGGGGTGGCTGATGTCAGCAGCCCCCACTCCACCCCTCCTCCTCCTCCCTGCCGCCCTGGGCACCCACCCATGTGCTTCAAAATGGCTCATGGTTTTGGACACTGTTTGCCTTTCGAATTGGAATCACTGGAAACATAAAGTGTATGAACTCCTGGGATCACAGGCTGGGTCCATCATGCTGGGGTCTGTGCCGGCCTTTCTCTGCTGGGGCCCCTTGGCCACCATCTGTCTGTTCACACAGCAAAGCAGAGGAGGCCATCAACCGGGAATTAAAGTGGCTAAAGCATCACAGAACACAAACCAGAGCTCCCAAGCCTTCTGGGCTTCAAAGCATGTGGATAAGTGTGTGTGTGTGTTTGAGGAGAACACCGTGTGGAATCATCCACCCGACTTTCTCCGCTCCGCCCCTGCCGGCCTCTTGGTTTTGATCCTGGCAAAACTAGGCCATCTTGCCTCTGCCTTTGGGACCTATGAAGAAGCACCACATGGGCTGGAGGAATCCTAACACAGTTTGGTCCAGCCTGCCTCTCCAATCTAGTCTTCCCATGGGAGCTGAGAGGATATTTTGGGAACACAGATGTGACCACGTGAGCCTGTTATGGAGCGGGCTGGAGCTGGGGCTGACCTCCGCCAGCACGTCCGCCTGCAGCTTCACGTCGCTGTTGGTTCGCTGGAAGAAGTTGTCAGCACTTTTGCTCCGTAAACTCTTGGTCTTGAAAGAAAGTGATCGTTTTAGTTTCTGGAGCTGCAATGCAACGACAGAACAGACTTACGATCAACCATGCAGACTCCTGCTGTGAGTGTTGGGGGGCGGTGGGGGTGAGGCCTGCTCCGTGGGCTGCACCGTTTCCGACACCCTCAGCCCCTGTGGAGGCATACAGGGGTCCCTGCGGGGGTGGCTGATGTCAGCAGCCCCCACTCCACCCCTCCTCCTCCTCCCTGCCGCCCTGGGCACCCACCCATGTGCTTCAAAATGGCTCATGGTTTTGGACACTGTTTGCCTTTTGAATTGGAATCACTGGAAACATAAAGTGTATGAACTCCTGGGATCACAGGCTGGGTCCATCATACTGGGGTCTGTGCCGGCCTTTCTCTGCTGGGGCCCCTTGGCCACCATCTGTTTGTTCACACAGCAAAGCAGAGGAGGCCATCAACCGGGAATTAAAGTGGCTAAAGCATCACAGAACATAAACCAGAGCCTCCCAAGCCTTCTGGGCTCCAAAGCATGTGGATAAGTGTGTGTGTGTGTTTGAGGAGAACATCGTGTGCAATTATCCACCCAACTTTCTCCGCTCCGCCCCTGCCTGGCCTCTTGGTTTTGATCCTGGCAAAACTAGGCCATCTCGCCTCTGCCTTTGGGACCTATGAAGAAGCACCACATGGGCTGGAGGAATCCTGACGCGGTTTGGTCCAGCCTGCCTCTCCAATCTAGTCTTCCCATGGGAGCTGAGAGGATATTTTGGGAACACAGATATGACCACGTGAGCCTGTTGTTCAAAACCCTTCACAAAGTTCCCTTTGTCCTTTATAAATTAAATTTATTTTATTACTTTGGCCATGAGGCATGTGGGGTCTTAGCTTCCTGACCAGGGATCGAACTCATGTCCCCTGCATTGAAAGTGCAGTCTTAAACCACTGCACTGCCAGGGAAGCACCTGTTCTCTATAAATTTAAAGAAAAGCTCCTTGCCACGGGCTTCAAGGACTGGTAGATTCTGGGTCCCAGTGACAGCTTAGATTGCCATCCACCTTGCTCTTGCCAGCCCAGCCACAGTGACCTTTTAAAAGTCTAGGTTACTTATTATGCTTTTTTTTTTTTACCCTTCTACCTCATTTTATTTTGATTGCTTGGTTTTTTAAAATTAATTTACTTTTTAATTGAAGGATAATCGCTTTACAGAATTTTGTTGTTTCCTGTCAAACCTCAACATGAATCAGCCATAGGTATTCATACCTTTTGGACCTCCCTCCCATCTCCCAACCCATCCCACCCCTCTAGGCTGATACAGAGCCCCTGTTGGAGTTTCCTGAGACATACAGCAAATTCCTGTTGGCTATCTGTTTTACATACGGTAACGTAAGTTTCCATGTTACTCTCTCCATATGTCTCACCCTCTCCTCCCTTCTTATTATGCTTTTAAATCATCAGCTCTTAGTGCAGTGTCCCCTCTGCCCAGACAAAAGAAATGAACCACTTGGCAGGCAGCTGCATGACCTGTCATAGGTCACTTCACCTGAAAGGCAGTTTTTCCCTCATAATTGAATATCCATGCCTGTTGCCTGGAATTAATGTCTAAGCCCCAAAGCTGTAGATGAAAGTGCTGATCACACTGTTCTAATAAAGGCCTCCAGACAGCCCTACTGGACACATAGATGACCTCTTCGAACTTGCCGAGTCCAGCCACCTCCGCATCAAGCCCCAGCCTTCCCTGCAGGAGATCAGGAAGATGTGGCGGGTTTAGTGCTTGGGGTGGATGCCACAATTCTCTACTTTACCCTTCCCACGCTCCTTTGCAAGGTGACCTCAAGATCTGCCCATCCAAGCTGGAGCTCCTTGAATCCTGTTGGTTTGCGGGTGTTTGACCAACAGCAGGTGGCAGAAGCAACTTCAAAGCCATTTCCAAGACCAGACTTCAAGACGTCCTGCACACTTGTCTTCTACCTCGGAAACCGGCCCAGCTGCCATATGCACAAACATGATGCAGCCTGAAGGACGATGGGAGCACAGGGTCCAGAAACCACCCCCATCACTCGAGTGACGCAGAAGCAGAGCCACCCTGCTCCTTTCAGGGAATCAAGGATCCAGATGAGAACAGAGGAACTGCCCAGCTCAATCCTCATCAAACTGTTGACCCACAGAGTCATCCACTGAAGAGATGGCTGGTGTTCTGAACCATTAATTTGGTATCTTCTGTGTGTAAACAGCAATACAGTGCTGTTCTCCCCACCTTTCACATACGTGCTAGGAATGTGCTTTGCTGTCCCTCTGAAGTTGGCAGTGACTAATGTGAAGCCAGTGCTCCACTTCAGGGAGCTTTCTGGGGAGAGGGGTCTGGGGGACACCCTGCAGGGCCGTCAAGGGAAGCTCGACTGAGACCACTAGTGGAGCGTCATCAGTCAGAAAGGGCTAGCCAGAGAAGCAGCAACAACCTACAGAAGAGGTCAGAAGCTGTAGGCCGTCAAGACTCTTGTCCCTTTCTCTCCGTCCTACAGCCCAGACCCAGCAGAGGGGCTAGACCCGACAGAGGAGGAGAAGGAGGTGCTCCTGGGTTATCTTGGGGTGTTTGTTACTGAACCATAATCTAGCGCATCCTCACTACACAGAAGAAGGAAGTCACAAGCGCTTGGGAGCTCTGCACTTATTTTGAAGAGAAACTTCCATCTCCATCTAAGCTAACTGTGAGGGTGCTATGAACCACTCACTCTGTGAGCCTGAGTCACACAGAGGTGAGGACCTGGGGCTAGCAAAGAAACAGAACACACGTTCTTCATGTCAAGTCCTTCCAGCTGTAAACTGGATGGTGCTGAAGGAAGGTAGACTTAAACAGGAGGCAAGTGATTGAAATATGTATTACATACACACACATATATTGTATATTAATATAGTATACAATTACATATGTACAATATATAATATTAAATACTATATATATGGATAATAAGACATTCAAACTACTACTACTTATTTATAAAATAAGTTGCATGGGTGGACCTCCAGATTGTCATACTGAATGAAGTCAGTCAGACAGAAGGGGAAATATCATACGACATCTATTATACGTGGAACCTAAAAACAAATGATACAAATGAACTTACTTACAGAACAGAAACGGGTTCACAGACTTAGAGGACCAACTTACATTGCCAGGGGTTAAGAATGGGGGAAAAGGATAGTTAGGGTTTGGGACAGTCATATACACACTGCTATATTTAAAATGGACAATCAGCAAGGACCTACTCTATAACACATGAAACTCTGCTCAGTGTTATGTGGCAGCCGGGATGGGGGAGGAGTTTTGGGGACAATGAACACATGTATATGTATGGCTGAATTCCTTTGCTGTTTACCTGAAACTATCGTAACTTTGTTAATTGACTATATTCCAATAGAAAATAAAGTTTTTAAAAAATAGGTTGCAAAGATGGCCAGCACAGGGAATATAGCCAGTATTTTATAATAACTTTATATGGAGTATAATGCATAAAAATATTGAATCAGTATGTTGTACACTGAAAACTAATACAATATTGAAAATCAAAAGTTAAGTTACTCAGTCGTGTCTGACTCTTTGCGACCCTATGGGCTGTCACCTGCCAACCTCCTCCCTCCATGGGATTCTCCAGGCAAGAATACTGGAGTGGGTTGCCATTTCCTTCTCCAGGGGATCTTCCTGGCCCAGGGATCCAACTCAAGTCTCTTGCATTGCAGGTAGATTCTTTATAGTCTGAGCTGGCAGGGAAGTCTACTGTAAGTTAAACATACTTCAATTAAAAAGAACTTGACCCCAAGTATTTAGGTCCACATCTGGAGACTTTTTTCATACCCTCATTCTGCTATTTTGTATTGTGTTAACTCAAGAAAAACTTGCTTGGGTCTTGAAAAAAGTGGCTAATGGATTAAGTCCATTTATAAGCTGAATCCTTTGTGTATTTTATATGCTATGTCTGATCCTTGACTTTTCATTTTCAAAGCACTGCAGAACCCCTCTAAAGCTGTACATTAGATTTATAGGAACCCAGTAAACGATTTTGGTTTAACAGCTTGCACTTTGTAAAGGCAGGCTGGAGAATCAGAAGAGCATGTAGAATCCCAACTCTGTTTAAAGCCTCATTGATGCATTCTTTGGTTTTAAC